CCTCCCGTTCGCAGCCCTAGCGGAGCGGAGACAACTAGCACCAGCGGCTAAACAATTGAGAGCGGAGGCAGTCAAATATCGATGGGGGGCAGATGGATCCCTAACAGCAATGAAGGGAGATCGGACATTCACACTCACCTCCGCGGATGACCAGGCACAATTTCTCCGCCAGCTGAGAAGACAAGAGGCGGAAAACAAAGAACCCAGAGAAGCAGACAACTGGAAACAAAAAGACGCACAGAGCAAACCAGGGCCCACAAAGAGTCACCACACTGCAACGATACCGAGGAGACAATTACTTACCTAAGCGGCTTACCACAGCACTCACTTAGCACACCATCAACTTCCAGGTGATAGAGTATATACACGGCACCATACTGTCTAGAAAACCCATAAACCAAGTTATACGCCCCAGAAATCCAATCTAATTCCAGATGTTATACCATTCTAGTTAAAACTAGACACACTCCTCTCCCAGATGTTTAGCTCACAGAGAGCGCAAGGTTGGAGACCCCACAAACACCCTTGAAAACGGGACTGTTTGCATTAATACGAGCTTGAGAAGTGGCGTAAAAAAAAAAAAAAAGGGTCACAAGGAACCTGAGGTTGCAGAGTAACCAACCATAGGCGCTTTCATAATGACATTATGGACTGTTACAGAAACTTTGTTTTGCAGTTCTTTACATTTCCCATACTATGACACTGTTGTATTAGGAGTACTAAACCTCTAATAAAATACAAATTAAAAAAAAAAAAAAAAAAAAATGTTCCAAAACAGGTTAATATTAGTCAGATTGACAGAGCTAGGAAATTCCCTCAAAGACTTGATTTTCTGCTGTTTGTGCATTTACAAACTGCAAGTAACGATTAGGTGAGTTCAGTAATTATGGAAAGGTAATTTTAATATTTTTGCTATGAATCCTTCGATTTGTTTGTTTTTGTTTAAGGGTTTTGTTTTATCTCCATTTTATTTAATTCTAAATAAAAAAAATTTATTACAGGGTCAAGGTACAGATCGGCTGCTGTCCACGGAATCACATGACGAAGTAACAAATATTTTGCAGCAGCCTTTAGCACTTGGTTACTTTGTTTCAACCGCAAAAGCTGGTCCTTTGCCTGACTGGTTTTGGTCAGCATGTCCACAAGCACAATATCAGTGCCCACTGTTTCTTAAGGTAATTGCTAAATGTTTAGTGGAAAGTCTTCATGGTGTAGATATTGTGTGAGTACCAAGATTTTAGTGCTTCCTTGAAGTTACTTTTGTTTCGAATGTACCTTTGAGACACACCAACATGTAATTTGAATGTCCAAAAGTTCCAAAATTTAGCGTCCCTGTGCAGAGTGTGGGGGTTCTGAATGGCAGGGCTCTGAAGCCCTGAGCCAAGAAGCCCCACCAATAGCCATCTATGGAGTGGCCACTTGGAGGTGTCCCTAGGAGCTGTAGTTGTTCTGGTGACTATCGTGTCCCTTTATTGCCTTGGGAGACTGGTCTGTAAAAAGAGCTGGCTGGGAATTGAGGGTTCAGTTTACAGCTCCCACACTGCAAAGTCTTTTGAGGAATGAGCCTAATGCACATTGTGTCCACTTTAGCTCAAGTCACATGATGTGGTCGCACTCAGACTGCACCAATATAGTGATTTATTGCTGGAATCAACCTTTGCACATGTGCGTGGAGAAAATAGCAAAAATCTAGCTATGTTTAGGATTGTTAGAAGTTGGAAGAAATGACAGGAGTGATTTAAAAAAAAAAAAAAGTTACTTTAAAGAAGTTCTTAGAGGATTTTACATGAAACGAGAGAGGTTACAAACCAAATGAGAACAGGTGGAGCTGTAATTGTTTGAAAGGGAATGTTGTGATAACGGCTAGTTTTAAATCTGAATTATACAATACTGATAATTATACACGATTGGTAAGCTGTATCCTGATACCTATGTTGTAGCATTTGAGGTGAGTATCTGTACTGCAATATATGACCAAATTGGAAATGAAGGATGTTTTCTAACTGGTTTTTAAGGGTTTCGTTCAGACTGATTGTTTTAATTTCTGTGTCAGTATTACAAAAATCTATATATCTATGTTGAATTGAATAGAAAGCCTAGCCATGCAGGGTAGTATGGAAAATAGCAGACGTTATTTCAGGAACAGTATTACTTCAGCTTAATGTACAAGCTTTTAGCAGGTCTATGAGCAGGAAAATATGGTATAGCAATGCTTATAGTTCCACTAAGGCAGGCATAGGCAACCTTCAGCACTGCAAATGTTTTGGAATACACCCCCAATTCTGTTTTGCTAGCATTATGGGTGTAAGAGCGTTATGGGGGATGTAGTCCACAACATCTGGAGTGCCGAAGGTTGCCTACCCCTGCACTAGGGCAACCTTGGATTTTTCACTAACCGTGCGTTTGCTCTTACCTTGTACCTGTGGGCCAAGAATAAAGCTAGATACAGGTGACTAGATTCTACATGACCAAAAATTAGCAATATTTGGTTATTGGTATTTTCATTTGGCAATAATTGTACCTTTTTTTTATTATGACTATTAGCATTTATATAGTGGCATCATATTCCCCAGCACTTTATAATTATAAGATAGGGTTATTTGATAAGTAATTTCATAAGGAAAATAACAAAGACAAGGTGAAGAAGGCCCCGCTCAAACAAACTTACATCTATAAGAAAAATATTGGGCGTTTGCTGTGAAGATGACCCTGGTCAACTGCTTGTAAGGCAGGTATGCCCACCATAATGCACTATTAATGTATTTTGTACATGATATGGTTCTATTTTAAAAGTTGTCTGCAGTCCTTGACGTTGGTGGAAAGTACCTTAAAAGTATAACCTGTCTTTTACAAGGGCTGAAGTATTTGGTGGAGAATTTCACCTTGTGTTTTTGTTTTTGTTTTTTTTTAAACACCTTTTTGACAATGATTGAAAGTGTTTTATTTTATTATTTTAAATCAGGCCTCTTTGCACCTTCATGTGCCTTCAGTGCAATCAGATGAACTGCTCCATAGCAAACACTCCCACCCCCTGGATTCAAATCAGACTTCAGATGTCCTCAGGTATTAAAATACAACTTATAGCATTTCATATATGTTCTTCTGTAACCAGGAAGTCCAGGTGTTTTGAAAAACAAAATCATATAAATGAAACACTTGTTTTAATTTTATCATTTTACCATAGACCATTTTTCCCTTGCATAAATGTAATGATTGTTTGATATTCTGAAAATGTATCCCCCCACGTGTTTACCCTGTGGCACAGATAATTTTTTAAAAAGCACAAACTGTAATTGGCATCTTCCTTGAATTCTGTTTGAGAATCTGAAATCATATAAAGCATCATTAATTTAAAAGGTGATTTATTTTTCATAATACTGGCTGTGTATCTTTGCAGGTTTGTTTTGGAACAGTACAATGCCCTCTCCTGGCTAACCTGTGATCCTGCAACTCAAGACAGACGTTCATGTCTGCCAGTTCACTTTGTGGTGCTGAACCAGCTATATAACTTTATCATGAATATGCTGTGATATACATCGGAAAAGAGACAAAGCATACCGGAGAGAGGATCAGATTTCATTGTGGGAACTTAGAAATAATCAATTTTCATCCAAGCCACTCTTCAGTGATTTGAGCAGCAGCAAATATATTTGGAATACTACTTGTATACACATGGAATCCCGAAGCATATTTTGAAAGCCTCAATGACGCTTTGCAAATCATCTCCAGTTTCAGTATTTCTTATAAGGATCCTCTACCTGCTGACATCAAGTGAATCTAAAAAGCTCGGGGATGATATAAGGAACAATAATGAGGAGTTTCATTACTAGACTTTAAAACATCGTTAAGATGTTGAGTGGATTATAAAATCTATTATCAATATTCAGAAACAAATGCCTGCATCTCTTATTTATTGTAAGTTTTTAAATGTATAAATTGTCTTATATTTCTTAGCCTCTTTTTATAAAAAAAACAAAACTTTTTTCCTTGAAGGTTTATATTGCCTTCTTGCTTTAAAGCAATTGGTCTAAAATTCTATGTACTCGTCTTAATTAAAAGTTGCAGTAGGATGCTTTTAGAGTATTATTTTTTTGTAAGGGGAGGGTGGGTGACACTGAATTTGTATTGTCTTGATGTACAGTTAAATAGGGGAGCGGGTTAATGTCCATACCATTGTGTGTGGGGGATTTACAGCTAAGCTGTAACTGCAGAGTACATGTACAGTCATGATCTTCACTGTGTTTATACATTTGAAAAAGGTACCGGTCTTAAAGAAATTTTTATAATCACACCTTGACAAACGGAGTATCCTTAATGGCAATATATCATTGAGTATTGTAGGTGGTTTAACATGTAGTGACAAACATCTATTTCATTATTTTTATTTATTTTTTTATTTTACTTGGTTCTGCTTTTGTTAGGCCGCATGTAACAAAATATGCGCTTTTTACCTTTTCATACAATAGAACAAAATTGACTTTTATCCCTCAATTACAGTACTTTGCATTGTTTTGGTTTAGATGTAATTTTTTATTTTCCTCTGATCTGAAATTAAACATTTAATGCCTACAGAATTATCCCACAGTCCCGTAAGCTCTGAATCCATCATGGTTCATGCCAGAAAGAAAAACAAAAGCAGTCTATCTGGCATTTATCTCAGAAGGTATGCTTTAGGTGCAGTGTAGATAGATTCAGTAATTAATTGGTTTCCCTTTTTTCGTTTTTTTTAAGCCATTTTATCTGATCTGAAAAAGTCTCTCTTGAAAACTCCCTTTATTTATGAAGTGTCTGGAAAAGAAAGTATATTGTTTGTGGGGAAACTACAAATCTTGTTTGGAACATTGAGTTTTGTAAATACAGGGTATTTACCTTAACACTTTCATATAGAGAAAAACAGGAATCCAGTTTGCATTGTGTGTGTGTGTGTGTGTGTGTGTGTGTGTGTGTGTGTGTGTGTGTATATATATATATATACATAGATATATATATATTATATAAATATTTAAGATATCAACCTTTTTGTTTAAAATTAAACACTTGGTGACAAAAGCTTTCCAACATTCTTTCAAATCCGTGCAATCAAGAAACTTCAGAAATTTATTTTATTTTTCTTTCCTATGGTAATCTCGATGCCTTAGGAAATTTATTGGCATTTCTATCACTTGGTAAAGATTTGTGGGATAAAGATGTTTCTGATGTTTTGGAACTTGTAAAAATATGTAATTAAATTGGTCCCATTTTTATTCATACTTTTTTTTTGTATTTCATGTTTGTTAATTTCTCTTCTCCCCATAAAGCAAGGAATCCTGAAATGACACTAAATTAATCATTACCAAGTGAGAGTGCAACGAGGGCAAAGTCTCCAATGTAGGGATACCATGTAGATAAGTTCCTTGTCCAACCATTTTATTGTTAAAATTGCCTTTCATTTGATGGATCTTATTTAGAATATAGATGTAAAACGAGTCTCTCCTGAAAATATAATTTTCTTATTTTTAAAAAAATTTTGGTCAACTATTTTGACATTTGTTCTACCCATTTGTGTCCTAAATATTATTTTAGATCCATAAACAAACTATTCTAAAATCAATTGGTAGGTGCCAGTAAAGCAAGTAAGATTATTTTAAAACGGTCACATCCAACTAAAAACTAATTTTGGATCAAAAATGAGTTTGCATTTTGATTAGTGTTAGATGTTCTGCCCAATCTTTCCATGCAGTTTATGCTTAAAGTAAATGTCCAGTTTTTACAGGTGCTTTTGTGCCCTTAGTGGGCAGATTATTTTTCTATCCGCAGATTGTGCTGTAAAATCTCAGAGGTTCATACCTCCTAGGTTAAGAACCATGTGCTATTTTATTGGGTGCCCAGCGGTTGCTAGAGGTATATAATACAGATCAGATCCCAGGCAACAGCCTACACTCAACTGATTACTGCTACTGCCTTCCCCAGGATAATGGAGATTCACGGAAAGTGCCTAGTAAAATGCTTTTTCAGAATATTACAATTGAAGAATTAATCACTGAGCTAATTTTATAACAAAATAAGTCACCAAGCTAATGCCATGTACTTTATTTGGTCCCTATCTTTAGATCACGGTTTACACGTGTAAATTTAATTCCATTATACTACAGTGTTTTTCTTTTAATGTTTTTGGTGTTCTGGCCATTTCCAAACTTACAGAAACACACTCTAAATGTTGGCACCTGTTTTTAATAGGAGCTGGAGCCCCATAGTAGGATTGTGCATGCATTTTAACCTCTAAGATTGAGACCTGCCTATAAGTAATTGTTTTGTCTGCAAGTGTAACCTGTGCTGGTAGAGGTTGCAGTTTTGTAGAGGTGGTTAATCTCAGCAACTGCTTAGTTTTAACCATCCAGTTTTAACATAATAATGAGCTTTTTATTTAAAGAAAGAGCAGTGCAGAATGAGTTTAACATATTTAAACAGTGAAAAATGTTTCACTCAATAAAAATATGTTGTTTTTTTTGTTTTTTGTTTTTTTAAACCGGTCACCTGCAGTCTTTTACATTAAGTGTGTGGTCATAGTACTTCACTGGGCCAATGCAAAGTAGAGAGGGTGTGCTTGTGTGCAAGATTAACTTTTATGCTCCTAGTTGCAACTTTCACTGCCTGGTAGACTTCTATTCAGCACATTACAACAGGAGAGCTAGAAATAGTTCTAAAATTAGAAGCTTTGGACTCTAAATGGTAACTGTTTTTTGTTTTTGTGTTATTGGCACGTTGATTTGTTTTACAATAGCTAAAACAAAACATTGGTAATTGAAAACAAGCATGTTGGCTGTAATTTCATAAACCTGTAGTAGTTGTACATTAAGTACTTTCAGTTTGAAGCTAAATAAATTCATGTTTTCTTTATCTGCCTTGTAGTCCACATGCAAATTGCAGCATTATTTAACTTCCAGAAAACAGTTTGGCAGCACAAGATGTGCCTAGTAAAAAGTTCTTTCCAGTAAGCTATTTTCTGTGACGTCCAAGAAGTAGAAACACTCAAGAACTAATTTAATGCCAAGTATGTGAGCAATACTCATGTAATCAATTCATAGGCAGGATAAGATATTTTAAAACATTTGCAGCACTCTAACATTACTAATATAGGTTATTGTAGTAGTCCTAGTGCCGAGAGTGTGTTTGTGCTGTCCCCTTGATTTCTGTGATACCTCAGTTGATTGGTTTAACATACGCCAGGCTTTTCCAACTTCAGTCAGTTCCCCTGGCTGTGACTCAATTAATGCACTTCTACACTAGTTGAGTGCCAAAGCGAGGCCATGTTTAAGGATCAAGGAAATCAGGACACATATTACTGACTCTTTGCACCATGATCACTACAACGAGCTCTAGTAGTTACAGAGCTTACATTGCACCTTAAAAAAAAAAAAAAAAAAGTACTTCCTGTCCATATTTTGAAATTGGCTTAGCTAGAATATATAAAAGAAAATTTGTATGTTTTATGGTTTTCAATGGCCACCTTAAAAATATTCACTTGTTTAAAACTAGTTATGTTTGAGTCCATTATTTTGGTAATTCTATTGAATGCTTTTATTAACACAGTATACCTCATGTAGGTACCATATAATACCTTTATACAACAAAGACCCCCCCCCCCCAACCTTGTCATTTATTTTTATTGGCTAATATATTTACAGTATACAACCTTAATAGAAGCAGGATTAGGATTTTGTAGTGACATGGATATTACTATGGAAAATGTTTTTAGGGAATGAACAATATCTGCCTATAAAGAGAGGGTTTTAAATGTTTGTACCTTTTTGTGTGGTTTTTCTTTTCCTCCAAGGGCTAATTTTACTTGCAAACAAATATAATTTTAATATATTTTTAAATAAATGTAATGCAGTGGCTCTTTCCTTTATGCTGGATTTCACAGTGACTGCAAGCTATTTTTTTTTTTTTTTTGCCTTTTTATGAAATTGATGCTTTAAAAACTATTTTTTTAGAAGACCCCCTCCCCCAAATAAATTAATATTTAGGTTTAAAAGCCAATTGCATTGTGGTACTTTTTTATTTTTTTTATTTATTTGAAAAATGTTAAACTCCTGCCTATGTTTAGCGTTCAAACCAAATGGTCCTACAGTATGAATTTTGTAGATATCCGGGACATGTCTTATACTTGAGTAACATATCTAATTAGTTTTGTTTCCTTTATTCTACTTTTTTTCCTAGGTGTGATACAAAATATTTCCGTACTGATATTGGTAAATCAAGTATACTACCAGTGGGTCATGCAATGCATTTATTTATATATTGGCTTCTGCAACGATTGTGTGACAGGAATTTCACTAATCTCTCTAAGGCAGGCAGATGCAATGTTACATTTTAAAAATTTTTTATTAGGATGCCTGGGAACATTTGAGAGTTTGTAGAGTAAATGAATCTCTAATGCAACAGATCTGCTTACCACTACATATTTAAACACATTGGGGTAAAAATTTAATCTGGGCCACACTTTGTAAATTTATATTCTTCAGTGGACACGTTTGTCCCACTGTCTTGGTTATTTGGTCCAAGTGTATTTTATTTTTTTGCTTGTTTTCTTTTCTTTCCCCACCTAACGCAAAATGAAGAAGAACAAATATTTTTGCTGCCAAGTGCCATAAATAGAATTGTACAGAATGTGGTTAAGGAAATGAAAAGTTTATACTTTAAAAAGAAAATAAATTATTCACAAAGCCTTCCTTGTAGTGTCTTTAATGTAAATGCTGAAGTGCACTTTTGGAATACAATGGACGAGAATGTCTTTTAATTGAATGGACTTCTTGCACTTTAATGTAATTTCAGTGCCCTTTTAATTTAGAATGCTATTTTCTTTAGCGTAATTTTTTTGTTTTTTTGTGTTTTTTTAGCATGTGAAAATGTATTTACCTTTCTTATAAGCAACTTGCTTGTCTTCCCCCACAAACCTCCCAGACCTACCGTCCTGTATGCCCCGTGTTGAAGGTAGCAGGGCTCTACTCTTGTTAAATGGGATTTCCCATAAATCGCAGATTTGGTTGTGAAGCTGAGTGAAACAAAGTTAGATCCATGGGCCATAATTATTTTTTTTTTTTTATGCTGGTTAGGTCCACAGTGCACTCCAAGCTCATCAGGCAGACTCACAGCTCTACATACACAATTGCAGACATTACAACTGTTAAATGACCATTAGAGATGGTAAAAATGCTGGCAAACAAGAGGCAGGGAGGATATCGGACATGTCTGTTCTGCCCAGTTGTCTGAAAAGGCAGTGTTTATGTTAAAAAGCTTGCAGGGACTGACTATGACTATATTGAGCTGTAGTTGTACTAATTACTTTTGTGTCCCTTTAAAGAAAATTACAAACATTTTGAAACCATTTTAAAAAAATGCCAGTTTACCTTTTGAAGGACCACTAAAGGCACCCAGACCACTTCAGCTCAATGAAGTGGTCTTGGTGCCAGGTCCCTCTAGTTTTAACCCTGCAGCTGAAAACATAGCAGTTTCGTAGAAACTGCGATGTTTCACTGAGGGTTAATCCAGCCTCTAGTGGCTGTCTCACTGACAGCCGCTAGACGTGCTTCAACGCTTCTCACTGTGAATATCAGTGAAAAGACGCTGGACGTCCATAGGAAAGCATTGAGAAATGCGTTCGTATGGGCGATTTGAATTGCCACGCATGCAAATTCGGCACTGACATCGGCAGAGGGAGGAGACTCCCCAGCACAGAAGGAGCCAGGCGCTGGAGAAAGGTAAGTGGCTGAAGGGGTTTTAACCCCTTCAGCCCAGCGGGAGTGGGACCCTGAGGGTTGGGGGACCTAAAGACCCCTTAGTGCCAGGAAAACGAGTTTGTTTTTCTGGCACTCTAGTGGTCCTTTAAGTGCGATTTTGAAAGAAGCCGCTGTCTTGGTTATTTGGTCCATGTGATGACTTCTTCATAATCTTCACTTCAAGTTATGACCAACACTATTTTTTGTGCTTAATGCAAACAAACTTTAAATATTATACATGAAGAAACTCTGTAAGGTTACAGGTTACAACACTGTTTTTTGCTTAATGCCACAAAGCTATAAACTCAAACATTAACACAGAATATAAGGATCAACTCTCTGACCCAGTCTCAACAAAATCTAAATCTTGACTGCTGAGCGGTGGAAAGAAATACTGATCACCCACAGCATTTAAGCCACTGACTCGTGAAGTGAGTAACATTGATTATCATTACAATGGCACAGTCAATGTGTGGGATATACTAGGCAGCAAGTGAGCAGTCAGTTCTTTAATTTCATTGTTGGAAGCAGGAAAAATTGGCAAGAGAAAAGATCTTAGTGTTTTAAAATGAGCAGACAACTGGATAAGAAAATGTCTTAGGACTTGTATGGAGTGGTTATTACCTACCAAAAGTGGTGCATGGAAGAACAAACCGGTGAACCGGCATCAAGATTACGGGCATCCAAAAGTCATTGATGCATTTGGTGAGTGAAGGCTAGCCTGTCTGGTCCAATCCCACAAAAGCGCTACTGTAACTCAAATTGCTGAAAAACTTAATGCTGGCAATGCTAGAAAGGTGTCAGAATGCTGCATTGCACTTTGCTCTGTAGCTACAGAACGCCCAGGAGGACACCTGTCCACTGCCAAAAGTGCCTTCAGTGGGTACATGTGCATCAGAATTGGACCATGGAGTATGTAAGAAGGTTGCCTGATCTGATGAATCATGCATTTTTTTTTAATTTTTTTTTTTTAAGATCAGATGGATGGCCAGGTGCATTATTTACCTGGGGAAGAGTGCAGCAGGATGCAACATGGGAAGATGGCTGTTTGGCTTAGGCAGTGTTAAGCTCTTGGAAATGTTCTGCTGGGAAACCTTGGTTTACTTTGACATGTACCACCTACCTAGAGATTGTTGCATACCACATACACTCCTTCATGGCAATGGTGTTCCCTGACGAGTCTCCTTTTTCCGTAGTGTAATGCACCAAGTGACACTGCAACAATGGTTCAGGAATGGTTTGAGGACATGCCATAGTTCAAGGCTTCACCTTTGCCTCAAAATTCCCCAGGTCTAAATCAGATTTAAGCATATTTCAGATGTGCTGGAACAACAAATCTGATCCAAAGACCCCACCTCGCAACTTGCAGGACTTAAAGGATCTGTGAGGAGTGACATTATTGAGGGCTTTGTAGGCTGGTGTCCATTTCAATTGGATCCTGAAAAATACTGAAAGTCAAAAGAATTGTCAAAAGGGTGAGGTGTGTAAATGGTGGTCTGTCAGAAAGATGAACATAGCAACCGCATTCATTACAGACTGGTAAGAGGTAATGCTAATTGGAAGGCTGATGAGCAGTGTGTTGCAATAGTAAAGTTGGGAAATGAGTGCATGAACCAAGTACCTTAGTTGTATCTTAGAAAAGGGCAAAGGCAGGAAATAATTTTGAGGTGGAGGTTACAGGATTTGCTGACAGAATGGATGTGGAGAAAAAGGTAAGACCTGAGAAAGTAACTCCAATGCAGCGAGCTTGTGGGATTGGAGTAATGTGTTCCATTGACGTGTAGGGATGTAGATGGAGTGGGGGAGAGATGAGGCGTTTTAGAAAATGAGAAGGCATTCAGTTAACAATTAAATAGAAGTTGTTTGTTACGCATTCTTGGATGGCAGAGGCAAGTCTAAAAATCGTCGTCCTATAGATGGTATTGAAATCCAAAAGAGTTAATAAGGTTATCAATAGAGGCAGAGTAAATTGAGAATAAGAGAACCAAGAACAGAGTCCTGATGAAAACAAACTGAGATTGATAGTGGGGGGAGGTGGCAGCAGAGGAGGAGACCCTAAATAAGCATTCGAAAAGATAGGATGCAACCCAGGAAAGTATATTATTACAGAGTATGAGGTTGCGAAGGGTTTGAAGAGGAGCATGGCCAACCGTAAAAGGCAGTCTTTATTTGGAACAAAGAGATGGAGACAGTGTTTTGGCTCCTATATGAGCCTTTGTCAAGTCTCTTCAGGCATAGCCACATCCTTCTCTGCCTTACATTAAATCTCCACTTTTCCAGTCTAAATGCATGGCCTCGTGACCTATGTCTAGTCCTATTTGTAAATAGATTTCCAGACAATGGTTTGCATTGACTGCAAATATATTTGTATAATGCGATCATATCCCCTCTTAGGCGCTGTTTTTCCAAACTAAAGAGATTTAAATTTGTTAACCTCACTTCATAACTAAAATGCTCCATCCCTTTTATCAATTTTGTAGCCTGCCTCTGTACTTTTTCTAATGCCATAATATCCTCCTTTAGAACAGGTACCCAAATTTGCACAGCATACTGGTAAATCTTACCAGTGATTTATAAAGACACAATTATATTTTCTTCCTGAGAATTATTGCCCTTATTTATACATAACACCTCACAAGACTTAGCAACTGCAAATTGGCTGTAACATTCCCTGGTGGTCTAGTGGATGGGCTGTGCAGTTGGGGGGCAGGAGCGAGCTATTACCTTTGTAGCAGCTCCCCAGTTTAGCTCACAGTGTAAGTCTCGCCGTCTGTGTGCCGCGCGGTAATCCGTGGCAAAGCTCTGACGGTCGCAAGACTTACACTGTGAGCTGAGCTGAACTGGGGAGCTGACCGGAGCTGCTTCAAAGGTAAGTAAGAGCTTGCAGCCAGCCCCCAACAGGACGGTCCTGGTCTGTATTATGGCAATGTAAATTGCCATAATACAGACCTTGACTCGAGTATAAGCCAAGTGGGGCTTTTTCAGCACAAAAAAATGTGCCAAAAAACTCTGCTTATACTCGAGAATATACGTTAAGTTATGTACAAACAAATAATAGTGAGAGCACACAAATATTTATACCCACAAATGATGAATCACTTATCCTTTACCTGAACATTTTATTTGCTGTGGTCACTCCATTTCTCAAATTTCCTTCCAGGTAATTGATTCTTTTGACGTTTTACATACAGGAGGTGATAGAAAGAAGGTCTCCTGCTAGTGTGGAGGAATGCTGCGGGTGAGCAGGGACAGTCTCAGACTCTGCAGGATGCACTAAAACACACTGGGAATGCCGATATCGCCAATGAGATCTTCTCCCTCGAGTTTTAGTACATCGTTTGCTTATCCACATACACAACTGGGTTTGACTCTAAACAGTTGGACTCTGTTCTGGGACTCCTGGCACTATAGCAACTACTGCAGACTTTTTTGTTTTGTTTTTAATGAACCTAAACTTTAATTTTTAGTTGTTTTTTTTTATATATGTACAAAACAAATTTGGGGTTGTTTTTACTTTTTTTTTTGGATATGAATTTCGAGTTTTTTGGCTAGCTAATTGCCTTTTTGCATGCGCAGTGGAGTGTCCCTTTAAGCTAAAAGGCCAAGGTGTGACTAGTATAGAGGAGTTTAAATTTTTTTGCTTAAAGGTTAAGTCTCAGCACCATAACTATTGCTTCTTACCGAAGTAGTGATAGTGGAAAGTCTCAATAGCCTTATTAAAAAAAAAAAAGTTCAAGAGATACTACTGCTGCTATTCATAAGGAAAATGTAAGTGGGTTTAGCAACTGTCCTCTGGAAAGAACAGGCAGGACCCCTAAAGAACTTCAGCTTGCTGAAGTGCGTTATGTGTGAAGTGTTTGTCCTCTTTTTTTATTTTGCAAAAAGAGCAGATTTCAAAAGAAATTGGCACTTTTACAAATTACCCTGTTACACCCCTTACTTTTAATCCAAA